AAAGTTATTGAAATAATAAATGAAAGAAACATCATATCAGAGGAGATATGCAGACATAACATCAGAGAAGAAAATGGATAATTTATAAAACAAAACCTCAAAAACGCCATCCACTTAAACCATGAAAGAAGGCAAGCAAGAGTCCACCCTTTCCTTCTCTTTTGTCTCAGGGACAGAGAAAGCTGACTCCACTGACATCATCTGTTCCCTGCATCTTTCTCCCACACATCCTTCTCCCATCACAAAACTCTGAATGGTAAGTGGTAACACCTGGCAGGCTTCTCTTTCTGCTATAGAGGTGACATCACATGTGAGGGCAAGTATAGCTGAGCCAGTCAAGGTCTAGTTTAGGTGTGATGTAAAACAGGGGAGGAGGAGGCATTTCAGAGTTATCAGCCTGCACAGTCCAATAAGACAGAGTCGAATATGTTTAAAAGGCATTCAGAAGCTACTTCATACTCACCCACCCTAGCCTGAACATTTCCAAGTGCCTCTCGCCTACCTTAATCAGGTATGCATAACCAATATACACAACATTTCTCCAGGAAAAAAAAATTATGAAAACCTAAACCTCAGTTCTATTTCTTGTAACAAGGTTCCCCAAAGGTTGAAATTATCACCAATCACTTCACACTTTACCTGGCTGATCTCAAATCTACAGCCACTGCCACCTGCCCTTTTGAACAGTTCCAGTAATTCCTGGAACAGAGGAAAAGCAGCCAACCTCCCTAACTCCAAATTCTCACCAAGGAAGGGAATGAGCATATAATGGCTTTCTCCTCATTCCCGCATCAGCAACTAATGGTGGTACACCCTCAACTTTTTCCACGCCGTGATTATAAAACCTTAGGAAATCAAAAATGGCTTCTTTTCACAGGAATGTTAGGAACTGGGAATGGTTTGCCTCTGTGTTCCCACTCAAATCCTATAAGGAATTATAATCTCCAGTGTTGGGGGAGAGACCTCATGGGAGGTGATCTGATCATGGGGGCAGATTTCCCCGTACTGTTCTTGTGATAGTAAGTTCTCACTAAATCTGTCTGTTTAAAGGGGTGTAGCATTTCCCCCTTCACTTCTCTCTCTCTCTCTCCTGCCAACATACAAATACTGTGCCTGATCCTCTTCACCTTCTGCCATGAATGTAAGTTTCCTCTTGTACAGCCTGTGGAACTGTGAGTCAACTAAACCTTTCTTCTCCATAAATTGCCCAGTATCCAGTATGTCTTTACAGCAGTGTGAGAATGGACTAATACAGAAAATTGGTACCAAGAGTAGAGCACTGCTATAAAGATAACCTGAAAATGTAGAAGCAACTTTGAAACTGGGTAACAGGCAGAGGTTGAAACAGTTTGGAGGGCTCAGAAGAAGACAGAAAGATGTGGGAAAGTCTGGAACTTCCTAGAGACTTATTGAATAGTTGTGACCAAAATGCTGACAGTGATATGGACAGTGAATTCCAGGCTGAACAGGTCACAGATGGAAATGAGAAACTTACTGGGAATTGGAGTAAAGGTCACTCTTGCTATGCTTTACCAAAGAGACTGGCAGCATTGTGCCCCTGCTCAAGAGATATGTGGAACTCTGAGTTTAAGAGAGATGATTTAGGGTATCTGGTGGAAGAAATCTCTAAGCAGCAAAGTGTTGAAGATGTGTCTTGGCTGCCTCTATAAATCTATGCTCATTTGTATAAACAAATAAATTACCCAAAACTAGAACTTATATTTAAAAGGGAAGCAGAGAATAAAAGTTTGGAAAATTTGCAGCCCAACCATGTTGTAGAAAAGAAAAATCCATTTTCTGGGGAGGAATTTAAGGCTGCAGAAATTTGCATAAGTAAAGAAGAGCCAAATGTTAATAGCCAAGAAAATGGGGAAAATGCCTCCAGGGCATTTCAGAGACTTTTACAGCAGACCCTCTCATCACATGCCTGGAGGCCTAAAGAGGTTTGAGAAACACACTCACTCATCCAAATCTGAAGGATGGACTTAGAGACACAAAGAACAGTGGAAACAGGACTGTTAGTGACAATCTTGCAAGATCAGGTACTGGTAGGCAGACACACCTGGGGCAGTTACAGCAGGTAATTTCAGTAGGTAATTTATAGCATGCCAAGTCCCTCCCCCAGTTCCTCATTGGTTGAGTACTATGGGGTTACAATCTTCCCTAACGTTGCCTAAGTTTCATTATCCTTCCATAAAGTCATACCCCGGTCTCCTTCCCTACTTAAGTTTCGATTTCCCAATAACAAAACTTTCTTCCCTTTTATGTGCTGACCCCTCCTTGACATCCTGTTCACTTATCGTGACTTTCTAGGTGCATAGCCATGCAGTTTTTCACATCCACAGGCTGGCTGACAGTACTCAGATTTATTATGCCTTGCAAACAAATCATTAAAAATGTTTTCTCACAGAGGAAAAAATGGTTTCATGGGCCAGGCCTAGGGCCCTACTGCTCTATGCAGCCTCAGTACATGGTGCCCCACATCACAGCCACTCCAGCTTCAGCTATGGCTAAACAGCACCAAGGTACAGCTTGGGCTGTTGCTTCAGAGGGTGCAAACCCCAAGCCTTGGCAGCTTCCATGTGGTGTTAGGCTTGTGGGTAAGCAGAAGGCCAAAGTTGAGGTGTGGGAACCTCCACCTAGATTTCAGAGAATATGAAAATGTTTGGATGTCCAGGCATAAGTCTGCTGTAGGGGCAGAGCCCTCATGAAGAGCCTCTACTAGGGCAGTGCAGAGGAGAAATATGGGGTTGAAACCCCCCAGAGTCCCCACTTGGGCACTGTCTGGTGGAACTGTGGGAAGAGGGCCACCGCCCTTCAGACCCCAGAATGGTAGATCCACCAACAGCCTGTACTGTGCACCTGGAAAAGCTGCAGCCTGTGAAAGCAGCTACAGGGGCCATACCCTCCAGAGCCACAGGGGTGGAGCTGCTCAAGGCCTTAGAAGCCCACCTCTTGTGTCAGTGTGCCCTGGATGTGAGACATGGGATCAAAGGAGATTATTTTGGAGATTTAATATTTAATGACTGCCCTGCTGGGTCTCAGACCTGCATGGGGACTGTAGCCCCTTTGTTTTGGTCAATTTCTCCCTTTTGGAATGGGAGCACTTACTCGATGCCTGTAACCCCGTTGTATCTTGGAAGTAGCTAACTTATTTTTTTATTTTACAGGCTCATAGGCAGAAGGGACTTGCTTTGTCTCAGATGAGACTCTGGCCTTAGACTTTTGAGTTAATGCTGGTGTGGTTTGGTTCTGTGTCCTGACCCAAATCTCATGTTGAATTGTAATCTCCAATGTTGGGAGAGGTAACTGGTGGGAAGTGACTGGATCATGGGCAGATCTCCCTCTTGCTGTTCTCAAGATAGTGAGTGAGTTCTCATGAGATCTGGTGGTTTAAAAGTATGTAGCACTTCCCACTTTGCTCTCTCTCCTGCTTTGCCATGTGCAGATGTGCCTGCTTTCCCTTCACTTCCACCATGATTATAAGTTTCCTGAGACTTCACTAGCCATGGCTTCTGTACAGCCTACAGAACTTTAAGTCAATTAAACCTCTTTTCTCCATAAATTACCTAGTCTCAAGTATGTCTTTATAGCAGTGTGAGAATGGACTAATACAGAAATTCATATCCATTCAGAAGTAAAAAGAGGCCATTATGACCAAAAAATTCCTTACAAAGAAATTACAAACTTGTCTTAGACACACGGACACAAGCAGAAATGCCAAACCAGTAGGAAGTACTCAGGTAACTATCAGTGCCAGGGTGGGAAACCCTCAGAGCCCTGGGAAATGGGAAAGCAATCAGCCCCCAAATCACACAGTACATTACAACCAGATGAAACAAGAAGCTCTTTCAAGCTGTTGTTGGCGTCTTTGCCTTAAAAGATGGCCTTCTAACTGCAATCACCACAGCCAAATCACTTTAATCTATTCTTCTAAAAGGTTCCAAGTAACCTGAGCTCCTGTAATAAAAGGTCTGTCATCTGGTCCTTACTCATAAAAATTGTGATATTATACAATGTCTCTGACACCCAGGTGGGATACCCCAAGCCTTGGGGAAGCCGATCCTGACTGCCTGGTCTTCACAGGCACCTCCACTATCAGCCACTTTCAAGACCTGTTTTGTTTCCTTCGAAGCACTGATCATCATCTACACATGCCCACTAGAATGTAAGTGCTGTAAAAACACGGGCCTCGTCAGGTTCACTCCTCTATCCTCATCGTCTACAACACAACCAGGCAAATTATAAGCATTCATGACCTCTTGTTGAAAGAAAGACAGAAGGGAGTGAGTGGCTAAAAGGGAATTATGTCTTTACAGCAACTCTGAGCATGTTTTCAATGTGTAAGTCAATACACAATGTCTACAGTAATCCTGGAAATCAACATTGTTATACTCAGGGCTCCTCACCTTCTCTCCATCCTCATGAGGAAGAATTTCTTTCCATGCATGTTCTCCACAAAATGCTTAAAAGATGGAGTAACAGGCAACTCCCTCATTGGTTCTCAGCCCAAAGTGCATAATATTTAAAATAATAAAATAGATTGTCTTAGAAAAAGAGTAACGGTAGGCATCTGTAGCTTTTATTAACTTAATCATATGAAAAACAGAGAGAGAGGAGAGAGAGACAGAGAGAGCAGAGAGGAGAGAGAGACAGAGAGAGCAGAGAGGAGAGAGAGAGAGAGAGAGAGAGAGAGAGAGAGAGAGAGAGAGAAACACTGATGAAAGCCAAAGCCTACATCTTCATTAAAGATTAACATTTTATTTTTAAATTTAATGACTAATGACTTCTGCTTCATGCTCTCTTTTCTCAGTGGGACTCTTCTCCAGACCACATATATTATTTTTAATCTGTCTCAGGAAAGGAGATGTAGAAAATAATAGGATCATACTGGTTTAAGAGAAGGAAAGCTTATGTCCTGAAGAAATACAGGATTTTCTCTCCCACTTAGTTACAAGCCTGATCAAAAGCTCAAACCACCTCAGAGTTCATAAGGTTACCTTAGACAGTGCGTAATGGATGTATTCTGCTCCACATCAACAGAAAGGTCAAGGAAATCTTCATCTTTGCTACTAACCTGAAACAAAAAAAGGAAAAAATATATTAGGCATGAAATATGTAGTAGATAAAACTTTGAACATGTACAGGTAACTGCAATAAAAACCATAACTGCAGTTAAAGTCCTGTATGGACAGGTATACTCATTCGCACCAACTTACCTCAAAAACAACCCAATCTAGAGAAAATCTCAAATTCTCAACTTAACCTCCTCCCTATCCTAGTTTTGACTCACAGCTTTTAATAATTAAAACTCAACCAGATTTCTCTTCCTCTCCATTTATTTCTCCCGTTGTTTCAAAGTAGGAAGTATTAAATATCCATATAGCCCAGACTGCGGAGTGATAAATATGGAATGGAGAAAGGACAAGAGACTTACAAAACCTACCACCCAGATGAACATCCCTTGTTGAGTTGTTTCCACTTTTTGCCAGTCCCTTTTGCCCTTGCCCCATCATTCAAACTGTGCGGGGCGGGGGCCAGGGAGCCTGACATGCAAGGGCTGGAGTCGCATTGACCACACATAAAGCTGTCCTTTGGCCAGGAAGTGGTCATCACATACAGAGCGCAGTGCTGTCCATGACAACGATCAGACCTGTCTGGTCTCAAGCCTGGGCTCACACAGGCCCACCATACTGTGGACGGTTCTCAGCCGAGCTGGTTCAGTGGCCCCAGCTGTCTCTCAGCTTTCAACAGCTCACTCCTCACTAATTCTGGATCTCATGTATCTCAAGGCTCACTGAATAAGTGCTTACTTTCCACTAATTCACCAACAACCCTGGGGTTTTACTGTCTTGTTCCTGGAGTAGCAGGAACAGTTGGCAACAACCTTCAAAGTGCTCAGTCAATTGGCAGCAAAATGAAAACAACATTCCTTTAAAAGTGTGACAACTACCCTATGACCCAAAATTCCATAAATTACCTGAAGAAATATTCAGAGATGTGGATGCAATCTTTTATACTTTTAGAAGTACACACAGGGTCTGGGCATGGTGGCTCATGCCTGTAATCCCAGCACTTTGAGAGGCTGAGGTGGGTGGATCACTTGAGGTGAGGAGTTTGAGACCACCCTGGCCAACATGATGAAACCCCATCTCTAAAACTACAAAAAATTAGCCAGGTGTGGTGGCACGCGCCTGTAATCCCAGCTACTAGGAAGGCTAAGGCAGGAGAGTTGCTTGAACCTGTGAGGTGGAGGTTGCAGTGAGCTGAGATCATGCTACTGCACTCCAGCCTGGATGACAGAGCGAGATTCTGTCTCAAAAAAAAAAAAAGACGTACACACAGGAATGAATACTGAGACACAAGAATGGGTATCGCCCAGATGCATATCCTGTCTCTGCCATTTATAAAGTCAGTGGCTCCAGGCCAGATATTCAGCCTCTGTTTCCTCGTCTGTAAAGTGAGGACAGCAAGAATGTCTATCTCATAACGCTGTTGAAAGGAAGAAATAAGATAATACATATAAAGTGCTTTAAAAAGTAAGGACTCAATAAATTACAAAGGGGTAAAAAATTTTAAGTAGCCTAAAATGGCCAAAAAGTTGGAAGTGGCTTTCTCTATATTGTGGTTATCATACTAAATAACAAAGTAGGTTACAGGCTGGGCGCGGTTGCTCACACCTGTAATCCCAGCACTTTGGGGGGCTGAGGTGGGCGGATCACAAGGTCAATAGATCAAGACCATCCTGGCCAACATGGTGAAACCCCGTCTCTACTAAAAATACAAAAAAAAAAAAATTAGCTGGGTGTGGTGGCGCGTGCCTGTAGTCCCAGCTACTGGGGAGGCTGAGGCAGGAGAATTGCTTGAACCCGGGAGGCGGAGGTTGCAGTGAGCCGAGGTCGTGCCACTGCACTCCAGCCTGGCGTCTGGTGACGGAGTGAGACTCTGTCTCAAAAAAAAAAAGTAGGTTGCACAACTATATATAAGTTCATTCCAATTTTGTATTAAAAAGGCATCTTTATACTTATACACACACATCTCCTTCCCTGGCATTCTCTACCATCCTGTTTTAATTTTTTAATGACATTTATTTTAATGGTGAGCCCCAAATCCTCACCATTGCTTCCACTGGCTTCTTTGTCATATGGCTTCACAGATACTCTCATCGAGAGGTGACTGTGTTTTGCCACTCTAGATTCTGAGTGTGACCACGTGACTTGCCTTGGCCAGTGGGATGCTAGAAGGCAGGTCACCAGCAAAGGCCAGAACAAGCATTTGTAAAACTGCTCTCTTGCATCACTGTAAAAAGGATAATCCCAGGTTAGCCTGCTATTCCCAGAGAGGAGAGATCCATGGAGGAGAGCTGTGCTAAGGCATTCCAGCCAAGCCCAATCTAGAGTAAAACCCCTCATGATCTTGCAGACATCTGAGTAGGCCTGCTGAACTACAAACACACGAGTTTAGCAGAGTCCAGCCTAGACCAGTCGACCCCTAGCCAACCCACCACTGCATGAGTTATGATAATAAATGATAGTTTAAGGCTCAGAGTTTTGATATAGATAGATAACTGACACAACCAATAGATAAATACAGATAACTGATAAACCCACTTATCCTTTTATAGGTTTTATTTCTGTATGTTTACTGTCTGTCTCCCCCTTACTAAAATGTAAGTTCAAAAGACTGGCTTCCATAGTAACTAAGATCCTAGCACACCAATACTCCTTCAGAAAACTAGAAACCTCTCCAGATAACTATCAACTCACATAACCAAAAACTGAAAGCAGCTAACTGAAGGCACTGGAGAGTAAACACAAAAAAGCACAGGGGAGTCCACACTTGGAGGAGGAGAGCTGTACAGCATGAGTCCATGGTTTCATGGTCTTTGGCTGGGGGTATTCAGGGGGAAATACACTCTTGCTGGTCTGCAAGCCAGACGACTAAATCTGGGAAACCATGTCCACTGGGAAGAAGGGAAAGTGTCTGAGAGGGTATCTCCAACTCTGCCTACATCTGGCTGACCCCTGAACCACCCATGCATGGAATATACACAAAGCAACTAGGCTATTAAAAAAATGGCTGCCACCAAAGATTCAAGCTGTCACCCAAGAAACAGTTTATAGTCTGGGTCCAACCAAGATAAATGCCTGTTAAAACTAAAGAAACTCAATATGTATTAAAGAAAAATAACAGAATCCAGAGTCTCTGCCGCTTAACATTGTCAATGTTCTAAATAAGATCCAAAGTTACAATATGTGACAAATGTCTTACCTAAGACATTCTTAAAAGAAAATAAACTGAGACCAATTGTGGGATGACCCAGATGTTGGAATTAGCAGACAAGGATTTTAAAGAGGCCATTGTAACTATCATCAGTAAAATAAAACATATTCACAACGCATCAAAAATATGAAATCCCAGTAGAGAAACAGAAACAACAAAAAAGAATCAAATAGAAATTCTGGAACTGAAAAACACAATGCATTGAATAAATTTAACAGCGAAGTGGAGATGACAGAGGAAAGAACTGACAAGTGAATCTGAAGACAGATCAATGGAAATTATCCAATGAGGACTAAAGAGAAAAGACTGACGTAAAAATTGACAGACCCTCAAGACTCTTTTAGATAATACTGTACATATAATCAGAGTCCCAGAAAGGGAGGAAAGGGAGAATAGGGCAGTAGAACTATTAGAGAAAATATGGCCGAATATTTCCCAAATTTCATGAAAGATATCCATTAATAGATTCAAGATACTCAACCAACACCAAGCAGCGTAAATACAAAGAAGGTGAGACAAGGTGCCTCACAGGCAAACTGTTGAAAACCAAAAATAAAAAGCAAAGCTGAAACATCTAGATCAAAAAAGTAGATAAAAGATACATTAGATTACAAGAGGATGATTCAATTGGTGGCTGACCTCTCATCAGAAACTATGGAGGTCAGAAGACAGTGAAACATCTTTCACATGCTGAAAGAAAAAAAATTATCATCTTGGAATCTTATATGCCATAACCAGATCATTCAAGAATGAAGACAAATGAAGAGAATTCATTGATATAACAGGCTTGCATCACAAGAAAGGTTAAAGGAGATTCAAGCCAAAGAAAAATTACACCAGTTTGAAATCCAGATCCTTAAGAATAAAATGCATCAACAATGATAAATATTTATGCAAACAGAAAACCTTTTTTTCCGCTTAATTTTTATATAATATTCATACCTCTTTAAAGGAAAAAGTATAACACTATCCTGTGGGGTTTTATATTCAACATAAATATAATACACATAACAACTACAGCATAAAGAAGAAGGTAGGGTAGGAGCAGAGGGAATATGCATCTATATATTTATACGCATTCTCTATTTTATGTGAAATAGTATCATTATTATATGTAAGGATACTGTGAAAAGTGAAGAATATCTATCAGTAATCTCTAGCAAAATCACTAAAAAGATACAGGCAGGCAGAAATGTACTCAGAAAAGATCAAGAGGAAAATTAAAATGGAATAATAAAAATATATATATTCAAATAATTCAAAAAGAAAATACACAAGAGGAACAGAAGAACAAAAAAAAAAAAGAGGACATAAATAGAAAACAAATAAAATGGCAGCCCCAATCCAACTGTATCAATAATACCATAAACATTAATAGACTAATAATTACAGATAAGAGACAAAGATTGAAGGAAGATTTTTTTTTAAAAGGCAAGACCAATTTGTATGCCATCCACATAAACTTTTTATGTAAAGACTCAAGTTGAAAGTAAATGGTTGGAAAGTGGCATACTATGCAAAAAGTTGGCATAAGTTTGCAGAGGGCTAATATCAGATAAATAGACCTTAAGATAACATTATTAAGAAAAATAAAAGAGGACATTTCCTAATGATAAGAATGTCAACTCATCAGAAAAACACAACAATCAAATATGTAGCGCCCCCATCATAGATAGAGCCTCAAAAATACATGAAGGCGGAACACTATTTCACCAGTAAAAGGGAATGAACTCCTGATACATGCTACACCACCAGCAAACCTCAAAAACATTATGTAAGTGAAGGAAGTCAGAC